AGAGGGGGGAGGAAGCTACGAGAGTGAGAAGGGAAGAAAAGGAAGGATGCAGAGGTCATGAAGAAGCAGAAATTTTGAGTCAGGTGTAGATTAGAAGAAAGGACATATGGTAGGTAGGATTTTAGTTGGGAGGGTGGTAGAGGAGGAAGGGAGGGAGAAGGGAACTGGGATCTTCATGTAATTCAATCTTTTTTGTAATTCAAATATAAAAAATAAAATAAAAAAATAAACACACACACACACGTACACACACAAACGTGTCATTTTAAATCTAGGCTCCACATCCATGAGAGTCAGCAAGACTAACAGCAATTTCCTCTCATATGCACGTCACATTTGAAGCTAGCCTTCACAGAATGCCTCAGGAAGGGACCTGAGATGACTCCTCACCAGCTCTCTCTTGCATGTGACACATGGGACAGATGGGACACATGGACCACACACTTCCTTACTTCCAGCAAGCTTTCTCCTCTCAGCTAGGCAACCTAGTTCTTATCTTTACATTTGTCAGGTTGCAACAGGCACAGGTTCACAGTCATCTAATTGATCTTTTATTTTTGTATTTATTGCTGTCCTTGTTGTTATTTGTGTATGTGTTTTGTGTGGGAGGGTGATTATACCACAGCATGTGTATGAATGTCAAAGAACAGTTTTGTGAAGTTGATTCTTCCTTTCCTCCTTTACATGGGTTCAGTAATTTGATTTCTGGTCTCCAAGCCTGTATGGCAAAATCCCTTTACCATTGAGGCACCTTTCCAGCCCCATCTAACTGAAGTTTCAAAACCCCTTCTGACACCCAGTGTGAGAGCCCACAAGTCACTGAATTTCCATCTGGAGTCTATTCTGACTTATAAGTCATCTGAGTTCAAGCTTGCTTGTTACAGTCTCCTTGAGAGCTGTGAGAAAGTTCTGATTAAGCCAATGGAGAAGAACCCATTATCTTAAGATGCAGGCTGGTGAAGGCCAGCCAAAAAGACCATAGAGTTAGGGAATGAAGCTGCTTCCTGCTAGTGGGACTCCCATGACAGATAGCAAGCCTGCCTGCTCTGATTCGAGGACAGCTCAGGAGGCTGTTTTACTGATTGCTGCCCTTTGTTCTGCTTTGCCTCTAGTCTGTATACAGGCAGGTTCTAAGTTAAACTCGATCCTGTCCAGTGTGCTGGAAGGCATGGACTGGGTAGTCCTCCCAAATCTATCCTGTGCTTCTGACTCAGCTTTTTTTTAATCTGTCGTTTCTCAATCCTCACACCCGTACTCAGGTATCCTAGCTGACTCGGAGCAGGCTTCAACAACCCAGTCAAACCCTGAGGTGAAAACAGGTGTACCACACCTGTCCCCTTAGATGTCCCCTAACTTCTAAGTGTTTCATTACAAATTCCCAAACTCAACCCTTTCACACCTTCCAGAAAAAGAGCACTCGACAGCCATGTGCTTCCCCACAACCTTGTCTGGAGTTGCTCCAGGGTGGTTGCCTTGAACTGGAGGCACCGTGGTCATTTCTCAGGACAAATGGAAAAGGAAGGATGGGTCCTAGTCAAGGTTCTGTTATATGGGATTTGTTAGTGTATTTGCAGTTTGAGCCTTAAGCCATGAAGGAAAGACACTGGCATTTGAGAAGAAACTTCATCCCAAAGACAAGGAAAGAAAGAAAGAAAGAGGGAGGGAGGGAGGGAGGAAGGAAGGAAGGAAGGAAGGAAGGAAGGAAGGAAGGAAAAATCAGTGTGCTACAAGGTTTTTAAAAAATGAAACAAAAAGTAGGTACATCCAGTATAATCTCTCCATGTGAGACCTGAAAGAAGGGGTGTCTGTGGGGTGTCCAGACTCAGATCTAGCTGTATCACTCACCCATTTGGTTAACTCAACCCATCCTAGATCATCCAGGATCCCCTTACCTCAATTATCACATTATCTAGACAACACCTCCTTCTGGTATGTTGTCTAAGAAGATCCTGACCATGTAAACGGAGCTGAACCCCAGATCGCTTTCCTCATTCAGCTCCTTCCACTCCTCTGCATGTCAGGTGGCAGTGATGTTGCTCTCCCAGTCACACAGGGGTCCTCCACACAATCCTTTCTTCCAACCCTGCCCTGCCATTGCTGCCACTTCATATTCCATGTTCACTCCCAAAGCAGACACTTCTATTTTCATCACCATCTCCTGACCAACATGACCTCATGTAGGATGAATACAGACAGCCTCCCAGATGACACCCTGGTGTCTCCACAGGCATGCTTCAATCGTCACCAGTGACCCTCTACTGGGGAGTTATGCTAGGCTGTTCCTCTACCCAGCCTGCCTCAGCTTCCTGCCTTCAGCCTCCCCTGAGGAAAAAACAAAAATCCTAGGAAGGCCTTCTTTGAAGTGACTTCAGTACCCTCTCCACCACCACCCCCACTCCATCCCTTAGTCCCCATCAGCAGCCATACCTGTTCTCACATTAGTGTGCCGGGTTCCTAGCTACAGACACACCCAGTGTTTGCCCCTGATCTCTTACATGTCTTGTTCTTTCCTGGATCTACTCCTGAAGGAGACACCCCAACCCATCCCTACATACAGCAGGAGCTTCCTCCCAGGCCCCAGTTTAGACACAAATACCTGTTTTCACAGAGAGGTCCTTTATTAAGAAAAGTTAAGGGCCGGGCGTTTGGTGGCGCATGCCTTTAATCCCAGCACTTGGGAGGCAGAGGCAGGTGGATCTCTGTGAGTTCGAGGCCAGCCTGGTCTACAGAGTAAGTGCCAGGATAGGCTCCAAAGCTACACAGAGAAACACTGTCTTGAAAAAACAAAAAAGAAAGAAAGAAGGAAAGAAAGAAAGAAAAGAAAGAAAGGAAGGAAGGAAGGAAGAAGGAAGGAAGGGAAAAGAAAAGAAAAGTTAAAGTGGCTACTTTCTGACTCAGGCTTTTAAGAGGAGAAAAAGGAGAGGCCTGTGTTAGAATGGGCTAGGGTGTGGTGGTACAGGAGATAGGGGAAGGGGACAAGGGAAAGCAGAAGGGGCAATTGTCTCTGGACAGAGAGGACCCAGATGGGGAAACATAGGCAAATGGCAGTTTATAAAGGTAAAAAGGAGAAACCTCTGTGTTAGAATTAGGTATTTAATTTTTATTGGGTATGTTAATTAGGTGAGCCAAAGGGGGCTTTTGATTGCTGGACTTCAATACTTTGGTAGCTGGAACTTGGTAGTTGGCTTCAGGAGGAGGAAGTGGCAAATGAGGGAATAAACCTTGGTGGCTAACTTCAGGGAGGTAATCTAACAGCTTTTAACAAGGCAGAGGGAATGGGAGAGGACAAGGCCTGTCAGAGCCACGGGCTCCAGTGGGCTATTGTCCCTTCATCCCCTACTTCACTAGTTTATCTTGTCACCACCTCCTGGTCATGTTGCATTTTCCCACTGCAAACATTTTATTATGCCTCTCTCAGTGTTCTCACACTTATAGACCATCCTTCATTGTGGTCAGGAGGGTGTTGAGATGATAACTGAAAAAGAATTGGGATATGAGCTCTGTCCGGCGATAGGTGCCCTAGCCTCAGCCTCAGAGCCCTCATCCAGTGGCTGATGGAAGCAGAGGCAGACATCCACAGATACACACTGAACTGAACTCTGGAACTTAGTTGCAGAGAGGGAGGAATGAAGTTAGAAGGGGTCGGTACCAGGTTGGAGAAACCCACGGAAACAGCTGGCCTGAACAAGGGGGAACACATCGAACCCAGATGCTATCTGGGAGGCCAGTACAGGACTGATCCAGACCCCTGAACATGGATGTCAATGAGGAGGCCTCTGCACTCTAGGAGGCCACTGGTAGTGGATTAGTATTTTCCCCTGGTGTAAGAAGAGATGTTGAGAGCCCATCTCATGTGAAGGGTTACACTCTGGCCCTGGACACATCGGGAAGGGTCTAGGCCCGGCCCAGGATGATGTGGTGGACTTTTTGGAGCCCCCCATTGAGGGCCCTACCCTGCCTGGGAAGTGGAGGGTGGATGGGGTGGGGGGTAGGTAGGGGTGGGGTAGGAGGGTTGAGGAGAGGGAGAGAGAAGGGATTGACATGTGAAACAAGCTTGTTCCTAATTTGAACTAATTAAAAAAAAAGCAAAAAAAAAAAAGAATTGGGAAATGGTAATGCATAATTCTCATCTCCTTATTACAAACTGGCTTTTTGTTTTGTGGTTTTGTTTGGTTTGGGTTTGGGGTTTCAGTATAATTGGGTCAGAAACAGGTTATCTCTTAGCATAGAGACCAGTTGAAAGCAGGTGGTTACTGCTGGAAATCAAGCATAATAAATCAATGAACACAGAAAACAGGCTATGGCCCCAAACCAATCCACTCATGGGAGAGGTCTCTGAAGGAAAGCAATGGACCTCCTCTGTGGGACAAACTTCTGTGGACCTTAGGGAAGAACTGGCCTTCGAGTTTGGAGGAAGGACACCCCCTGTTCCTAACTTGGACATACAAACCCTGAAATTCATTTACTGTTTAGCTAGGCCATGTTTACTATTTATATCATCTTCAAGAGATGCTTAGCATCGTCAGCCACCGTGTCAAGGAATCTTAAGCAGAGAATGTAGACTTTAAAACCCTGGATGACAGAAGACTCAGGACCTCCCATCACCGCATAAAAAGATTCAGTGCCCTTCATGACTTTTGCTGGCATGCTGTCATCCTTTACAAGGGACCAGAAATCCAAGCACTTGAGGCGGCCCCTCATGTCTTCCACGGATGTGTCCAGCTTTTCAGCAATCTCTTTAATCGATTCGTCATCCAAGCCAAAATAGTTTCGGTAATCCTTCAAGCACTGTTCTTGTTGAGGCAAATCGAAGCCACTCACGAAGGGCATGAGGGGGATGAAAGACACAGCTGCTGACTTCAAGGCCTCCAGCCAGATCTTCTCCTTGAGAAAACGTCTCTTTATCTCAATGGATGCATCAGAGATATTGGGCAACAGCAACGCAAATGTATGGCGCTTGTGCCCAGGGAGCTCCATCAGCAAAGTTTCCTCTAGCTTTGGGAAATCAAAGTCAGCCAGATCAAAGTTGGAGATCAAGAAGATGCGTGGTTCAGACACTCCAACGTCACTGAGATTAGCCAGACAGTAGTCTCGGATCTTCTGAAGGACCCTCTTCTTTTTGAAGGTTGTGGGTTTGGTTTTCTCTTCGTTATATAAGTCACTGTCCACCTTGGTTCTAACAAAGTAGAATTTCTTCCCCACATCCTTGATTTTCTGAGCCAGGAGAGCATCATTGAGGCTGAACCGAGAGGAAGAAATGATGATGAAGAAATCATAGTCAGCAAATCCCACTTTTTCTAGATAAGTGTCTGGGAGGAAATTGGGAGTCCCGGTCCCAGGCAGGTCCCAGAAGGTGACCTGGGGATATTTTGGGTGTTGATAGGGGTTCTGTGCCTGGTGGTCTCCACAACCCCAACACCAGCTGATTCCTCTGCTTCATGGCTCAGCCCTCGAAGGGCATTTATGAAGCTGGATTTGCCAGCCCCAGACTCCCCGATGACAGCGATCTTCAGGGAAGCGTCTTCTGCCGCAGCCAGGGCTTTCTGAATCTGGCTTACCATATCGGTCAGTTTTCCCTCCTGGAGGGCCTTTTGAATACAGTTCAGAGTTTCTGGAGAAAGCATGCCTCCTGCCTTACTCATTAATGAAGAGTAGTGAGGCAGTTATTCCACAGACAATTTTTGGAGATTCTTTTCTGACGAATCCTTCAGGAAGGCTGAGATGAACTGATCCATGGCTGTTACCGTGGCAGGTCTGTGAGAAAGGAGAAAGACCAGAGAGGTGAGGAGAGTCAGGTGGCAATACAGAAACCACTGACTTCAAGACACACTGGCCCTGGGGGCCACTCCTGTCCTCACAGACTGATTCATATTCCTGGTGAGTTTAGTTGTCACCCCTTGACAGGGAATATACTTCTGTGTATATTCATCTTATTGATTGTTGAATAAAGTACTGTTTGGCCAATGAGGCAGCAAGTTAGACAGGACTAGGAGTCAAGGAGGATTCTGGGAAATGTAGTAAAGAAGTGATGATCCAGGCAGGAAATGACATAGCAGGGAGACTCAAACATAAACAAGGGAAGAAGGAAGTGGGCCCTCTCCTTCTCCAGAGTCGCCATGTGATCCACCTTGCAAGTGAGGACGCCATGGAAGGCGTCTGATAAGATAAGTCTTATAAAATATATAGATTTATAATAATTAAGACTGAGCTAACAGATGAGAATCCTAGTCATTGACCAAGCAGCATTTGTACCTAATATAAGTCTCTGTGCATTAACTGGGGCCCTAACTTGGCAGGCAGAACTCAGGCAGCTGGCAGAAAGTGCCCACATGGCGGTAGGGCTCGGGCGGCTTTTGGTGAAAGATTTATCGGAACAACCCCTAAAGAAGACACACCTATTTTCTGTCTTGTTGGCTTCTGTGTCTCAAATTCAGGAGAGGGTAGCCACCCTTGCGGTGTCAGAATAATGACCTCAAAGATATCCACACCATAACCCCCAGAATCTGTGCATATATAATTTACACAGCAAAAGTGAGTTGGCTGTTGTGATTGACAGTTTTCTGATGGGGTCAATGCTTTGCATTATCCAGATGGGCTCAATTGTACATTTAATTTTGAAATAATTTTGGATTTCTGGCTTCCAAAACTAGAAGAGAATAAATTTCTGTTGTTTCAATTGCCCCATATAAACTGCCCATATTCGTGGAGTAAGAACAGGTGATATGCCACACAAGTATGCAATGGCCAGTGATCAAATCGCAGTAATTAGCATATGCAACACCTCAAAAACACTAACACATTTAGTATCCTTAAGACAGGAACAAAGGGTTCAGCTATGGAGAACAATTGTCTCCCGCTCATGCACATCCTCCAGAAACAATGTGCCTGAAATTAGTAGAACCTACTAGTTATGGCAGCAGATATGACTTGTTGACATTTCCACTATAAAATTCAGTTTTGAAATGTTGGTCCATGACAGCTGTGGACTCTGCTGCATTGGACTGAAAGCTGGCAGGAGGCCAGGAGCCACTTGGGAAATTTTTTTCATTTCCCTTTGGGCTCCACAATCGTACTCTTCAAGCTAAGAGCATGGAAAACATTTCTTCCACTCCACACTTTAACAGAAAATACTTTTAAAAAAATCTTGAGTAGTTAACTGGTGTAAGCCAGTTCATTAAATCAATAAATAAAACTTCTAGAAACTTCTATTTTAAAGGTAATGACAAAATGAGCTTAGTGTTACTTGTAGTTCAAACCATCTAAATCTAATGAGAATTTTAAGAAAGTTTTTCTTTCTAAACTTATATCCATAAAAGACCTGCAGAATAACCTGCAAAGTGAAATAAACAATATGCAAAATTCCTTTTATGTTTATTACATAAAAGTATGCAGAATGCTTAAATAATAGTTTTATTGAAAATAAAGTTATTTTCATATATTATGTCCTGATCACAGTTTCCTCTCTCTCATCTCCTCCCAGATCTCCCCACCTCCCCACTCTTACAGCTCCATTCCTTCTTTGATTCTACTTTAAGAAAACAGACAGGAAAATTGAAAAAGACAAACAAGGAATTTTTAAATGTACAAACTAACCAACCCCCCCAAAAAAAGAGTAAAAGATAAAGAAACTAAGAAAGAGGATGAGAAATGCTCACATATGCCATAAAAACTTAAAATTATAAGCCATAATTTACAATCAAGAGCAAGAAAGGTTTTTTTTTAATGTCCAAATAAAGCAATATATGACAACAAAAATCTCCCAAAATAAACCTTTAAGTTCATTTTCTGTTAGTCATCTAATGCTGGGCATGGGGCCTGCCCTTAAAAGTAGTATGTATACCCAGTGAGACTCCTTTGGAGAAATTAAGTTTTCCTTTGCAAGTGGTTGTTAATTGCAGAGGATTTTTGGTTGGGAGTGGAAGCTCATGTCTACCTCCCCATCTCAGTGCTGGGAGCCCGACTGGTTTGGACCTGTGCAGACCATGTACATGCTGCCACAGTCCCTGAGAGTTCATGTGTAAATCAGTTCTGTTGTATCTTAAAGACACTATTCTCTGTCTCTCTCTCTCTCTCTCTCTCTCTCTCTCTCTCTCTCCCTCCCTCTCTCTCTCTCTCTGTCTGTCTCTCTTTCTCTCTCTAACCTAATAAGGTAAATGGTTATTTAATCGCTAAGTAACATATTTTTAAAATATATACCATATTTTCTGAAGAAGTAAAAATTTCCAGTTCAGTAAACAAAAACTAATGAAGTGTGCATCAGGAATTTTAACTATGCCTTTCTGAAATAACAGTGTGCTTATTTCTACCCTTAAGCCACAACTCACCAAGGTGATTTTTCAAAAGTAAATTCTGGAAAATCCAGAATAGTATTGGTTCAGCTCTGCTCCTGTAACAGAATCCCTGTGGGTTTTATTTTTCAAGGCTAATGTGGTTTTAATCTGTTTTATTGATTCTTAAATTTTGTTTTATCTGATGCCATTTAAATGATGGCAGAGGGGACTGGAGAGATGGACCAGCCGTTAAGAGCACTCATTGCTGCTCCAGAGGACCCAGGTTAGGGCCCAGCACCCCCAGTCTCTAATTCTAGCTTCAGGGGTCTGATGACCTTTACTGACGTGTGCACAGGCAAAATACTTAAACACATAAAACAAAAATAAATAAGTCTTTAAATGATGGTAGAAGCATTCATTTTCTGTGTAGCATTTTGTTATAATGGAGGTTTTAATTAGACTTAGAATATTGAAATAGTCACCTTCTCTGCTGTTTTTAAATGAATACTGGTTTGGCTAAATACCGTGATACATGCACTAGGTACTTGGAAGGTTGAGACAGAGAAGCTGTGAGTTCAAGGGCAGCCTTGACTCCATGGGCACCGTAGTGAAATTTTACCTTAAAAAAATTTGGCTTTGTGCCTCCATGAGATGATGGGACAGACTTAGTAGACTTCCTAGGGGAGCAGATGGGAGGAGGGGGAGTGTGGGGAGTGGGAGGAGAGGAGGGAGGGGGAACTGGGATTGGAATGTAAAAAATAAATTAATAAAAAAATTGGCTTTGGCCATTTTCCTGTTTTTAAAACTGCATGGTGTCTCTACAAAGGGTTAGTCTCAGCAGACCATGTTGGGAGACAACAATTTGTGATCAGCATGTGATTGATGATAAACTATGTGGACACTGTACATTATTTATAAAACCCAAGTGGATGCCCTTCTCTAACTACAAAATGTATATGGAACTTCTAGGTCATTAGAGTTGATATTTTGTTCATGGGTGTTTGTAGAGTACTTAGATCTGAAACAGTGTAGGAAAATATATTAAAGGATCTTGTTTACAGAAATTTTTAATGTAAACATTCTTAAGTGTAAACCTATGTTAATGCATACTTAAGTAATATCTTTAAAACCAAACAATGACACAATTGCCATATCATGCATGCTGTCAATGACAAAAAATAAAGCCTTTTTATTGGCAATGAGAAGTAAAAACAGGGCCAGGAAGATGGGTCGGTGGGTAAAACCATTTATCACGCAAGCCTGACAACCTTTAGTCCCTGGAACCCACATAAAAGGCCATATATGACAGATGATGCACACGGGTAACCTCTGCACTCCTACTTTAAGATGTAAACCATGGGAGAATGAAGTGTGATAGTCATAGGTCAGCTACCAAGACAGAGTACATAGCACAGCCACAGAAACAAGGGAGATCTGGTCCCTATGAGGGAGAAGGAGAGTCTGATGCCCCAAAATTATTCTCTGGCCTCTACAAATGTGCCTTAGCACCTGTGTGACCACACACACACTCACATGCACACACACAGACACACACACACACACAAACACACACATGTGAGTGCACAAGTACATTTAAAAAAAAATTAAAGATATAAAAAATAAAAGGACTGGTAATGTAGCGTGTGTGAAGTCTAAGGTTCAGTCCCAGAACAAAGAAGAAAGAGGGCACAGAACGGAAGGAAGGGGAGGAGGAAAGCAAGGAGGAGAAAGAGCAGGAACAGAGAAGAATCATCTTATTTCTGATTACTAATGATAGAAGGTGAGTGTTCGAATGAGTGGAGATCATTGAGCCCCTTAGAAACCAGACACGTTTCCTCTCAGGTGTATCCTATGAGTGTGAAAATGGAAAAGGATGTCCTCTTATAGAGAAAGGTGGACATCAGCAGACTTCAGCAAACAGGTTTTGTTTTGTTTTGTTTCAGTTTTTTATTTATTTATTTATTTATTTATTTATTTATTTATTTATTTTGGTTTTTCGAGACAGGGTTTCTCTGTGTAGCTTTGGAGCCTATCCTGGCACTCACTCTGGAGACCAGGCTGGCCTTGAACTCACAGAGATCCACCTGCCTCTGCCTCCCGAGTGCTGGGATTAAAGGCGTGTGCCACCAACGCCTGGCAGCAAACAGGTTTTACTCATGTGCCAATGTTGAAACATTACTTAGAGTTTTGCTAATTATGAAAACCTCACAGAATTGTGACAATAGCTCCCTGCCACTGAAACGTAGACTCGGAAGATACAGCTATCTTACAGTGAGTACTGCATAATTTCCCCAGAAGAGCCACCTGTAAACATTCTGCCAAGTTTAAACTTTT